ACATCTACAAAGAAACTAAGAATAGGACCAGCATTTAGTGATGCTTCTCTAATACCCTCTTCAGCTTTCGACACTCTGTAGCACAAGGATTTCCTGCACTTAATAGCCCTTGATGAATCCTCCTTCCATGAATTCGTCTTCATACAATGACTGGGGAGGAGAAATAACTATTTCTAGATTTTGTGATTTGGTAATAATTCCCAGAATAGAGCACTAATTATTCGGGGTGTTTTTTATAACCTGGCGGCAAAAAAAAAAATAAATTATTCTCGAAAGAACAAAAGAGAGGCTATCCACCTCATAACTATTAGTTAGAAATTCTGACTGAGAGTTTTAAGGCTGCCAATTCTAAAAGGGGAGGCAGCCAGAAGAAGGGTCTCAGCTCACATAGGAAAGTCCCAAGTTCAAGCATTCATTAAATACAGGACCCAGGTTTCAAACTCACCCGGGCCTTTCCAAAAAAAGGATTTAGACATGTACCACTGATATGCAGTCTAGGGATCCAAGGCCAACATGGAAAACTAAACATCTCCCACGTACACCTAAAATGCTATGGATGTCTCCATTCTACACTATTTTTTTTAAAATTTCTGCATACACCAGAGCACTCACATCTCAGTGCTGGAAGCTCTGCATCTATGAAACAGTCAACTGTGAACAGAGTTTAGAAACTAAGTGGTACTACACATATCTGGCCACTCACTAGCACCTTAGAGAGAAGTAACAATTGTTTTCTTCTACAACACAGGGGGAGGAAAAGTTAATTTCCCTCCATTTTGTTATACTCATTTGCCAAGTATATTATTTTTCCAAGATATTCCTGCCACATTCACTGGGATGGGATGGACAGTGCTTGCTTAATTAGTTCTCATGTTTTCTTCATTATCAGCACTTAGTCCCCCATGCAAGAATAATTAATTTCCTCCTGAATGTCCTTTAAAGTGTATGTGTTTTGCAGACGTTATCCTGCACTCAAAACTTTAGTCTTCCTAGAGCTCTGCCTTTCATACTCCATCTCCCCACTCCTGAATATTCAAAGCATTATTCCTGCAAGTTTCCTTCCCAGAGAATTTCATCCTGTGCAACAAATGAGCAAAAGAACCTGTCATAATACTCAGGGAGCAGAGCAAAAACTGCATATAAAGCCTTAATTCTATTATTGCCTTAATGCCAGTGCTCCAATTTGTTGCATCATATTAAAAAATATGGAGTTCACAGATCCAGAGCATTTTCTGTTGGAGATTGAGAGGTAGATGGGACAGAGGAGTTTTTGACAGTGAATTTCACAGAAATCTGTTGACAGCCAAAAAAAGGATAACACTTAAGTTCCAGGATTTATATCAATATTTTAAAGGGAAAATGATCCAGCAAACTTTTTATTCAACTCTTATCCCTTTGACAGTTCCAGGGACTTCCTTATTCCAAGTCAAATTGCTTCACTAAATAAGTCTTAGCCTCCTGATTTCAGTCTTATCATAGAATTGTTTAGGTCATGTATTTCAGACTCCACTTTTGCCCTGTCTGCTAGTCCAAACTATCCTAATTCCATCTGGTCTGTCTCCTCCCTCATTCACTATTCAATCAACTACTCACCTCCTTCCATGCAGGTTTTCCTTCCAGCCCACATCAGATCTGATCTTGTACCCCTCAAATTTGTGGTGGGTACCTACATCATTTTCTTCATGTGAAACAGGAGTTGCATATCCCTGGTGGGGCCGAGCAAAAATTATCTCCCAGAGTAGGAGAACTACATATTGAAACAAAACAAAACAAAACAAACATTGCCAATATTTTTGTAGCATGGGTAAAACAATATTTTTCTCTAATCTCGTTCTTGGAAGACATTAAACTGTTCTGGCTGAAACTTTCTGAAGGGAACTCAGCTGCAGGCAGACACCAAATGCAACATGGAAAATATCTAGTTTGAAAAGCTACTTTGACAAAGTTGTGAACAGCTGAAAATAGGCCTTTAGGACTGGAAGTTGCCTGGCAGTCTTAGCAAGAGATGATGTTACAAGCCCTGCCTGCAGAGCCAAAGTGTCACCCTCTAAGGTCACCCACTTCGGTGACAACCCAACCGCATTTATGGAGCGACTCTGACCAAGACAAGACTCCTGCCATTTAATTGTCCACCAATCTGATGCCTACACAAATCCAGACAGAGACACCCCAACAACACTTTTCCATTCCCCAGGGCTGTTCCATGGACCATGGGCCTGGGCAGCAGTGTTGGTTCCACGATTCCCCCCGAGCCTCAGCTGATGCTGCGGCAGTTCCGTGTAAGCAGCTGGTGACTGGGTCCCTCAGCTGTTCAGATTCCTCCTGCAAGAGCCAACAGAATTGTAGCCCTACTTGTGTCTTCAGCTTCTCCACTCCGAATTTTGCTGTAATGGACCTACCTAAAGTAATTAGGCCACCTGTTGCATCGCCAGATCCATTGAAGGGAGTCCTTCTGCAGTTGGGTTTATGTGGTTTGACAGTAATTGTTTAAACGGATACCAGTGTAATGGCACTGCAAAATAAAGTTGTGGAATTATTTTAATCAATAAATATAATTACATGCTCAGATGACCACGAGTTTATCTGTAATTAGTTCTCCATACCACGATGCAGTCCGCAATATCAACTTTTTTGCACCTTACACGACGTGGGGCAGAAATTGCACTCGCAGATAACGGGATATTTACAATCAGCTGAGGTTTTACAGCTCAGCAAGATTTTGACCCCGTGTTAAAAAAAAAAAAAAGAAATAAAAAAAAATTATCAGTTGTGGAACTTGAAAATGGCTATTTATTTTGGGACCAAGTTTTTACTGGTACCATGAAAACAGTCACCCTAAATCAACACATTCCAACACGAGCAGCGTTCTGTGACGTCAGCTCCCTAAGCAGTTAAATCTGTGGTTTTCTTCTTCCAGAGCTGCACAAGATTGAGCAGCTTGGAGTGGGGAGGGCTGTAAACACAAGATATTAAAATATTAACATCCTTAAATGAAAATATACATGTACGCACATGCCTACACATTTATCTGAACTGTCAAGTGTGCAAAGCCAAAGTTCATAAACTCCCCACAACATGTATAAATTGACCCTGACATCGCCTCTGAGGCAGATTTTTGTCGTAACACTGGTCTTATGGAGGAGGGAATTCAAATATGAAAGTTGGGATAACCTTCCTAAAGTACTCACAAAATGAGAACTAGTACTTTATACCAGTTACTTTATACTTTTGTTCAAATCACAGGCTAAACCCAAACCTAAGCATCATCTTATAAACATAATAACCCTACAGGTACAATATCCCAGTAACAGTTCTGCATCCATACATCATCCAGTTTTATATTTGGTTTATATGTAAAAATATAATGTATTTTATATATTTATATATATTTTATATATATATATAAAGAGAGAGAGATGGACCGACTACTAGATAAGCAAAAAAATACATCAAGAAATAATTTCACACAAAGGAAATGGAATATGAGAGAGTTTAATTGCACTACAAGTGGTTTATAAACTGCTGTAATTAAACCTGCTTTCAGTAGTGCCTCAACAGGTCAGTGTTGCTGGTTGGTTACAAAGGTACTGCACTATCAAACACACTGGGAGGCAAAAATCTGTAGTTGTCTGTTGGTGGAGTCCCAAAACTTTGATCTTCCAAAATAAATCAGAACAGAATCTAACCCTGTTTTAGAGGTTCTTCTTGATAATGACTTAAAGCAAAGAGGGGAGTTCCTTCCCTATAGATAATATGGTAATTTTGGCCACTGTTTAGCATGTTAGTGATATAATTAATAAATACATAACATAATATAAAATATAGACATAATATATACAGAATATATTTATATGCAGAATATACTTATATTTAATGTAAAATGTAATTATTTTACATTAGGAAGAATTTTAATTTCACTACTATTTTTCTCTGTCTTTACACTTACCTTTGTGTCATGTTTTGAAAGGGGGCTCCACACTACAATCTTCATTAACACTGTCAAAACTGACATTAAACACATGCTTATTTTTAAACACATCCTTAAACACACAAAAAAAATCAGCAGGGCATAAGTATCTTTTAAATACTAAATGAAATGGAATGAATTTTAAAAGACTCTAAAGTGATTTCCAGTCAAGCCCATTAAAATTCCATCAAGGTATGGGCTTCAAGTTGGATCCTAAATAAGCCACAACTAGTTGACATGAAGCAGTTATTATCCAAAGTTTCTTCTTCTGCTGCACCCCTTTCAGGAAACAGAAAGGGATTTGTAAGCACAGGCACAATCTTTTGTATCTGAAAAAAAAATAGCAATTGAAAATATTATATTTATATTACATTTTCCTTAAGGAAAATGAATATGGTTAAATTGCACCAGGAAATACTAACAGACACTTTCAAATCCCACCACACTTAAAAGGGTCCAGATTTTTATTATCTCTGTGATAAGAGGAAGAGCAAATGCCCATGGGAATAAAGAGGAAGATCTCCATTTCCTTCATATTTTGCACTCTTGCAAGTGTGATAGCCCAGATTTTGTGATGCAGGATAAACAGGATGGCTTCCCATGTCCTGCAGAACTGGATAAAAACTATATGAATCCACAGAAATCAAAAAAGGTGGTAATAAAACTGCTTTGAATGCACAAGGGGCTGAGTAGGAAACAAGATCTCAATGAAGTCTTCAGTAAACTGTTTTTATTCTTTAATTAAATAATTGCTTAAGTAATTCTGCAATAAAGAATTAGAAGACTTGTTTCTTAAAGGCACTATCAATTTATCTACAAGCTTGACTTTGCACAAAACAGCAAAGAATAGGGATGGTTAACTGAAAGAAGAAAAATGGATCACTGTGCCTATTCTTCCAGTCACTCATTATCAAAGGTATATCTTCAAATAGACAACATTTCACTTTCCCACTGTGGTCTGGTTTGCTGTTGGGAAATAAAAAACCGGACAGAATCATCATTAAAATTAAGAACCACAGATACAGACAAGGGGTTAGTTACATCCACATTTAATTTATTGTCATCTGGCTGGATTTCAAGTCAATGACATGCATTTCAGGCATTGCAGGCTGTTTAGTACATTGGCCATCCACCATAAATAAAATCTGAGGCTGAAATCAATAGACCTGACATAAGCATAGCCCAGTTCTCACATCTGAGTTTTAGGAGGCTTCAAAACACAAAATGATAAGGGTTGATTAACAGTTATTAATGACGAGCCTGTAGGAAGGTGAGAGTCGTGAATGGGCCAGAAAATTTGGATGGGAATACTGTAGCTGAACTCTGACATCATCATGTGAGCTACCAAGAGATACAGAATTAAGTACACAAAGTGGCAACCTTCACTTTTACATGACATAGAAATTTATCAAACAAAAAGAACTTTTTATTTTTTTTTTTTTTTAAAAGAAAGGTGACTGGGCCTCAGGCAAAGCAATACAGTCTTTCTATTTTTACAGCAGAAAATTCAGTTCTTAAAAGCAGATGTCAAATTGAGTTGGGTATGTAGTAAGATATAGGATGTTTGGCTTAGTATAACACCCATCTAAAAGGAGACAGTTCACTTGGAACAGTTTACCTCCTTTTGCAAGGTAAGTTAACCAAAAAATCCTAAGTCACTATGGCCTTGGACACGTAGTCAAATCCTTCCGTGCTCTAGTAAGGTCTTTATTTAAGGTTGGAAATGAAGGTACCTTGCAGGGCTTTGGTGTCAGAACTCACTCCATGCCAGCTGACACCTGAATGTGCAGAGCAGCAGTGTGTCCAGCAGGCACCACACACCACATCTCACGTGTCAAGGCTGGGCCACTGGCACTCTTGGACTGCCCAGCAATAGGATTCCCCCCAGCTTGTCCAAATCATTTAACTGGCAAAAGTCCACAAGTCTGCTCCCAACAATAAATCCATGCCCCAGTTGGAGAGGAAGTCATTTGACTCAGTCAGTTGTCACTCCTTCCCCTCTGTCAGCACGTGGCTTTCTGAAGGATCTTCACTCGGTTGCACTCTCGACACGTCATTTCTCTCTCATCAGATCCCAAGGTAAGAGCTGCTCTAGCTCCATTTACCTTATCCAGCTCTCCCCATTGTCCATTCAAATCTGAAGAAGCCTTTTGAAGTCTCTCAGTCCTCTTTCCTTGCGTCAGGAAACCTTCGGGACAGCTTATAATCTATATAAGCACTAAGGCAGGACCACAAAATGAATCGTATTAATATAATTACAACCAGCAAAATCATCAAAAGGGCCGATTCCATATTTAAGCTAGAATAATGAGGTAATGTGAAAAAAAATACTCTGGGAGATCTAATTATATAATGCAGTATTCAGTTCTGCACGGCCAGCCCAGCAATTCCTCTAACATTCCAATCAAAGTGATCTCACTAGCATGTGAGAGAAGAGTCCAGCTGACAGATTTGGGACATGTAACGTACTATTTAGTCAAGAGGCCCCATGTGCTATTCATAAAGAATTAACAACTCTTATATTGACAATGACAGTATTGTCAGAAGACCTTTGGAAGGGGGGGGGGAAAAAAAACCTCCATAAACTCCGTCTCTGTGAAGTTGGACTTCTTTTTTTTTTTTTGCCCCTTTTTTCCAATGCTGATGTAATCTCCAAACATCTCCAGCAGCAGCTGCTCAGCGAAACCAGGCACCTTCTCCCTAGTCCCTTTCAGCAGCACACGCAGCACTTTCCAGCTCCCTCAAGACAATCAGGGCCTTTCTTTCACCAATTAGCTATCACTTCAAGAGTCCTGCGCTGTCCAACGAGCTCTTAAGAATGGTCTTTGCAGGAAACAACACTGGAGGAGCGTGGTTTTTTTTTTTTATTTTCCCCCTAGACAAATGAAAAGGGGAAGAAGGGAGAGAGAGGAGGGGGAGGGAAAAAGAAAAAAAGAAGCACAAGAAAACAAATCAGAACTCACAGAAGCTGTCCAAAATGCATCGCTCATTTAGTGCATCGACAGAAATGTCCTCGAGAGCCAAGGCCAGAGCAAAGCACACACACAAAAAAAACCGCTCCTACTTTCTCTGGGAGATAGTTTGTTTAGTTGAATATGTTAAAAAGGTTTTCATAGAAAGAAGTGCTCTCGTTACAGCAAGTCCCTGAGCTGTAGGAACTAAAGGGGAAAGAAACTCCTGTAGGATTATGCTCCATTTCCTTATTTGGCTCTCCAAATGTAAAGCAGCATTATTTGAAGGAGACATTGTAGGAAAGAACTCGGTTTAGCTCACTTTAAATATAGATGGCTTGATGAAATGAGTAATTACTGGAACTGCTACGATCTTTTCAAACTTACTCCACCAGCAAGCTCCTTTCCCCAGAAACCGCACTTTCCGCCTAAAAAAGAAATGAGAGCCTGATTCAGAAATGTAAAGCTCTGGGAATTCTACTTTCTTTTTCCTTTAAAATCAGGGAATAGGTACAGTAATACCTTGAGGTCCCTGTAGATGCCAAGGCCTCGTCAGAATTAGTACAACTCCAGGATCCAATTCAAGAAGAAAACAAGGAACTTTTATAGATGTTTAAGCAATTCCTTGCCTGGGCCTGGACAAGTAGAGCTGTGGAGGCAGAAACGGGAAGGATCAGCAGTAAGTGAAAGGACTTGGATGTGGTCCAAGCAATAGCCTGGCTACTTCCCTGATTTTCAAAAATTCTGCATTAAACCAAATGTCATACCAAAATACTGACTGCCAGTATTCTCTCAAAGTGCCATTTTCTGGTCAAATTTGTCCTTGATTGGGGTAACCTCATGAGAGTCAACACATTGCCTTCTACAAGGCCAACACATACATTTACGTTGCAATTAAAAATAAAAATAGCCTGTTCCCTTTTATTGACTGTGTATCAGAAGCAAAGCCCTGGGCTTTGTAAACAGTTAAAAGGCACAGCAAAGCAAATACTCTGAGGGGTTTCAGGAGTTTCTTTGCACTAATGGGTTCTCTCACCTACCACATGGATTTTTTTAATGGAGTTGGAAAGCGTCAGAACTGATCAGAATGCTTAGAGGGAAAGAAAGTCTGATGTATTACCCCACATGCATTTATGAAGGAATGTGAATCCACTCAAATTCCTCTGCACAGGAAGGCTCAACCAAGGGATGGGTACACACAGTGAGGATTAAGAAGGAATCTTTGTGGACGTACACTGAACAATGAGCGTCTTTTTTATACCTACGGATCTCAAAAGATGCTGAGTTTAAAGGGACTGCTCCTTTCAACTAGCAAAGATTTTTGCTGAAAAAATGCAGCAGGCTGGAGAGTACAAACATATCCACACATATATATGTTACTGGGGCCACCTACAGTCACAGGAAAAAGGATGAAATGGACCCAAAAGGTGTATCAGCTTGCCCTAAAGCGAGATCAACTACGCCATTCCTGACAGCTGTTTCTCTAACCTGTTTCTTTTTTATGAGACCGACATCCACACAGATGAGAAGAAAGGAAATCATCATCTCACCTGAAGAGGATTTCAGCAGGAAAAACAGTTTGACAAACTGTTCAGTGGCTCTACCTGCTACAACACAACCACTGTCAGCTCCAGCCAGGGGCTCTACATTACAGACACACTTGGGCAGCTGGCTCACTTTGTAGCTGTAAAATAACAGCTAATAACATTAGCCAGTAACATAATAATTATAATAGTAATACATAATTAGCTAATAACATAAAATAGCAAATGTACTGGTTGAGGTAATGACATCTGCCTTTATCCACAAAAAATACCTGTCCACCTGGAGGGATGTCACTGGATGCACCTGAAAGTTCCTCTTTGGTGACAACCATCTTCCTTCCCTCCGGTGCAATCCTGCTGGAAACCACCAGCAGGATTTTAACCAATTCCCACGTGAGCTAGCGGGGCTGTCAAGTAATCCAGCACATCCCATGCCCTGGCCACCAGCTCCAGCCCAATCCACCCGCAGACACAATCCCGGCGGCTACTTAAGGGCACGTGAGGAATGAACTGGGGGGTTCCTCCCGGTGCCAAGCGAACAGGTGCCTCCTCCCCGGGGCTCACAAGTGCTTCTCAGCCCTGAGAGGTGTCAAAGCCGGAACAGAAAGCGCACATCCCTGGCGCCTGGCAGCGGGACAGGCTGGGGACAGGCTCACACAAAGCCGGGGAACGGCAGCTCCGCATGCCACGGCTGTCGGCTTGGCACTCCCCGGCGGGGCTGCGGTTGTTCACACGGAGGAATGCTGCTGGGCATGGAAGGGCAGCGCTTTCCTGCTTGGATTTCACTTCTCAGGGCAGATTTCCTCCCACAGAAAATCCGTGGCACAGCACAGGCAAGACGAATCTATGCGCCGGATGAAAACTGGCGCGGCCGGGTTTGGGAAAAGGCCGTTTAACACGGATGGTTGTTCTTCCTTTCCTTGTAAAGCCTTTTGGGAACGAGCGAGGAAAAGCACTATGCAAAGCCTATATATCGATAATCGCTATTTGGATTTTCCAAAATTTTTACTTTTTCACACACAACAGATGTTCCTGGAGCCGTTTTTTTTAATGGTTTGCCTTTTTGGAGAATGTGTGTCGTATCACCAATAAAAGCATCCTCTCTGTTCAGAGTTTATTTTGTTAAAATCACTTCTCAACTAGTCATCTCCCTAGAGAGCAATGGCATGATAGAACAGTATTCCTGATGGATGATATTTTATTACTAACATATGTTTTCATCACATAACCAACATTATTACCCTGTTCTGTTACAACTATTTATTAAAAAATCCTCTAATTTGGAACTATTTTTAAAATTCCATATTTTTCTTTTAAATTAGTACATAATTAATTATCCCGGTAATCAGTGCCCATTGAAGGGTAGTTTGGCAAAAATAATTATGTATTATGCAGTTCTGTTGACTTTAAAATGTAAGGCAACAGGTTTCACATCTAATTTTCCAGTTCCCCTACAAAGCAGTCTATCTCCTAAAATATCACTACATTCCTGAAATTTCAAAATATCAAGTGTAGCTACACGTGACAAAGCAGAGAATACAACAATAATCAATCACAAAACACCCCCTGTTGCCATCAGTTTGAAATATATCCCAAAACATTAATAAATTAAAATTAAAAAAATAGAATATTTTACTTACTGCATTTTGCCACGCATTCAAAACTCAGGATATGTCACAAATGAAAACAGCAAATAGTTGCAGTAGTTGGCATGGCTAACAAGAAGTTCCCAGTTCTTTGTTAAGAGAAAAAGAAAAATTCAAGACCAGCACTTATCTCTCAGAATCATGTGCCTTCTACAGTTATCAGAGTCAAAAAGGCACCTTGCTCCAGTTTGCATATGTGAAATCTCCTGAACAAGCATTCCACATCACACTGGAAACAAAATGCCAGTTCAAAAGAGCCAGATCAAGGTCTTCACAGCTTTAGAGGACAAAACCTGACATTCAAAGCCAACTCCTGCTTCAAATAGGTTGTGATAACACGCACATATCAAGATCATTCCATGTTGCATGGAGCCAAAGCAAAGTCAACACCTGCCCCACTGCTTTTCTACTGGAAAATCCCCAGCAGAATCCCACCACAGTCAGTTCAACATGCCCGTTTCCACGATCAAGAAAAACAAGGACAGAAATCAGTTACTACATTTATTACGTATTTCTTCCCTCAAGACTATTTTCAGTGTCCATAAAACCAGAAGTATTTGTAAAACTCCCGCTCATCCTCAAAGGCCTCGCAGTCAAAACTGAAATTCAATCGCAGAAGAAAGGGCACAGATTGCAGGGAAAAAAAAAAACATAATGAAAGTGAGGGGAAAGGGTTAGGAGAAAATGAAGCAAAACTTATAAATCAGTCTTAAAAGTCATTACCTGAAGACATCTGTATTTCAAAATACAGACTTGATGAGACCTCTGCAGTTATGGAGCTGCCATTCCATGATCACCTCCGTATGCTGCTGGATGTGGCCATACTCAGCAGTAGATATTTTGGTTCCCTTTCATTTACAGGAATTTCTTCTTAGGAATGTGATTAGAACATGACCTGGTAGTAGCAGAATAGATCACACATGTGCCATTGATACTTAGTCATATCAATTAAATAAAAGTTTCATAATATCCAAAGTGTCCACCTAATTGTGAACAAACATAAAAATACAAACATATTTAGCGACTCAAAGGAAAAAACCTAGAACAAATATTTAGGATTTATGTTACAAAGTTCAGAATAGTTGAGTAGTTCACATAAATTCAGGAGAGAATTTGATTAGTATTATTTTGGACAAAACAGTGTTTCAACTGAAACATCAGTTTTTCAAACACAGAAGTCTGGCCAAACGTGCTTCAGTTTTGACAAAATATTTGTCAAGAGCTGCTTTTCAGATCCATTAAATTCAAGATCAGTACAAAACAGACACTCTCCAAACATTATACAGCCAAGGCACTCATGCATAAAACCACAGTTTGAGTCTTTTGACAAGTGCTGTGGTCACCTATCTCTGGGCTATTCCCACGTCTCACTTGACTTAAAAAACCTTTTTTTCCTTCTCACTGTGCACAAACCAGATTGGGACCTCCAGAAATGTCACAGGATGGAAAACTCCCTTCCCTCTTGTCTGTAACTCCACACCTTTGGTAGATTTGAGGGGGCTGCTGCAGGCTCCGTTTCCTCTGGTTTCACTTGGATGATGCTCCTCCTGTGCTCTACCAAAAACAGATCAAAACCTGCCTCTGGTTTACAATTAAATTTGGGTTTCCTGTGCATCCTTTGTTTTGAAAGCATAAGCCAGTTTAGAGGGAAGCAAACAATGACACAACTGCCATTTTCCTACAAGGTCCATGATGTGAAAAGCTTTGCTAAACAGCGATTTAAACTCTCTTAAACTTATCACAAGCAAAATGTGCTTTGGCGAACTACAGACCTTGGAAAGAACTTGAAGATTATATCACACCACCCCTAAAATGCAGTTATTGAAAAGGACCGTCATCCTCTGTGCGTGATGGAAGGTAAACATTTCACATGCTGCACTGACACAGCTCCAAACCTCATTTTTCCATTTAAAAATGAAAGCCGGGCATTCAGCAAACTGCATTGTGTTTCGAAGAAGTTTTTCATTCTACTAGCAGGTTATCCTGCTTACTTTTAAAGTCTCTTTGCACACAAAAAGAAGGGGAGCTGGGGCAAAGAAGGAAAGAAAAGAGTCCATTTGAAAAAATTACACTGCTAGATTACAAGAGTTGAAAGCTGGTATGTAACTTTGCTCCGGGTGATCAAACTGCTAATCAGGAATGCTGTCGGGAACAGAATGGAATTCCAAATAAATTAGCCATGTCCAAGAAGCCAATACAACACAGGATTAAGGCTCACAAAGAAAACAAATTTATTCAGCCTACTTTATCAGAATTCTTAATAACGTGTACTAGTTTTTCTCATCGCAGTCTAAGCTCTTCCACCGGAACAGTGGGGAGAAGGAAAAACGAGTCACACTTCATAAATCTACTTGCACAGACACCTAAAAATGTTATGTAGAGCAAGACACACAATACCATTATATACATACACACATATGCTTATCACAGCCACAGTAGAAACGTGCCTATTTATTTCCCCCAGTTTATTTTCAAGGCACCTGACCAAAGAAAAGACACCACACACTTCCGTGAAAACCTACAAAGCTGAAGGAAAAGTTCGGAGCTGCATGGATCTCCACGCCAAAATGAGCTTCAGTACCACAGTATATGAACCACTGAATTGAATAACCAACTACAGAAATAAATCTCTCTCCTGTGTGACCATCCCATGCGTCACATTTTTTATCAAGTGTAAAGAGAAAAACTCCTGTGTCCACACACCGCAGTGCTGCGGCTGAGGTACTGTCTGCAACTCAAAGCATATTCTATTTTCACCTCTGACAGCATCCCAGAGAAACCATTCATGATAGTTTATGCCAAAATCACAGGAAAATTAAAAGATGTGCTGAAGTTTCTGCTTTTCCTTGAATTGGGATTTTAATCTTGATGGGACTGGTTTTCCTCACCTGTGAAACAGAGATTCTGACAGCTTCTTGTCTATGCAGTGATTTGAAGACAGAACTAGATTTTCTGAAGCGTTTTAGTAAAAATAAAATTTTTAAAAAAAGAGAGATGAAGTACTTCTTGCTGAATCTAGACATGTAGAGTGAAACTGTCCAGTGACACCAGAGCATGGCTTCTGAAAAAAAAAAATAAGTAAATCATAAACATATTCTAACTTCCAGCCATCCATTGTCCAGCACAGTTATCCACTGGAAAATAAGAGACTGAGCACAGCACTGCTTGCATTTACATGACTTTGCCACGTTACCTTGAGAATCTGTGTGTGCCTGGGTTTCCTGTAATAAAATTCACCAAGCAAGCCACAGGTTGAGTGTGAGTGTTGGGGATTTGTTTGTCTGCGGGTTCCCAGCCATGGCACTGCCCTGCTTTCCAGGTGACCAAACTGCACCAGCAGTTTGATACACGTGGTTAGTGAGTTAGGTGTTTTCTAAAGAATTTTTGTCCCAGGTAAAGGGGGACTCCCCGTAAAACACCATTTGTGCCCCCTTCCTTTCCCACAATGAAACAAATTAAATTCTATTTACCACTATCACTATAAGCATCTTAATCAAGCACAAAAGCACACATTTTACCAAGTGTGACTTAGATTTTTTTTTTGGTCAAGTGTTTTTTTCTGACCTGTAAGAAGATATTTGCACAAATATGGAA